GGTCATGCTGTCGTTTCGGTGTAGGCGCAAAAACTCTAGGTGCGGAGGTAGTCGCAGGCACCAGCGGTCTGCTCCTGCGATCTGGATATCCGTAGGACCCCACTCGTATTCATTCGCAACGGTCAGTTCGTCCAACATCCTCCAAATATCAGCACTGGTATCCAATCGCCTCAATGCGGTGAAGTGGCTCAGCGAGTCAATCAGGTGATCAGAACTACGTTGTTCTTCGTCTTCCTCGTCTTCCTCTTCCTCGTCCTCGTTGTCCAGATCATCCAGATTTATTCTCATGTGAATAATATCGAGATACAAGTCTTCTAACGTATGCTTGAGAGGTTCAAGCATAGTGACAAGCTCGGCCCCTGTACAGCTAATAGGGCCAATGGTCGGGTTGAACGAATAATAAAGCCGTTTCAGCCGAGGGGAGACGGACAACAGCTTCTGCATTTCCTCGCCCGTGACGGCAGAGTTAGAAAGATGGAGGGTTGTAAGTGTTGTGCATCCCAAGGGTTCGGAAAAGCCTGGAACCAGGACGGGACCATACAGACTTTTGTACCATAAGCTTACCCGGGCTAGCTCAAGGGTTTGCAGTGTAGTATTGCCCAGAACAAATTGTAAAAATGCCAAAGGCCACGGTTTAGCGCAATCATTGGCAGCTGTGATTCTGATCAGCCTGGGGAACCCATGTACGGGTAAGTTCCAAGGTAGCAGGGACTCCAAAGCGTCCGTCGGAAAGGCGTGCAGCTGAAGTATGCGAAGATTTGGTAGCAGAGCTAGCATCAGCGCGACCAATGCATCCTCGTACCCAGCACGCAGAGTCTGACAGAACAAGAGATCGTAGGGGGGATCGTATGGAGGTTCAGGAAGATTGTCCAGCGACAGTCCTTCCATGGCTAAGAGATCTTGAAACCATTTCTGGTTGTGGTGGCTAGCAGCTTCCTCTGCGGTCGCCCCTGCGGCTTCATACGGGACGACAACATCAATGACTTGCGCAGCCTTCGCAGCCTTCGTAAACTTGTCGTAGTCTTGTCGGGACATAACTCTTGGACGGGGTTTCGAAATACTCGTAACCCACGAATGTAACTCTACTCTCTGGACATATTTTTCGCCAAGGTCTGGCCTTGCTACGATTCTGCCGACGAATGACGAGAGTGGACTACGATGCGGTTGAATATACTCTCGGTAGAGTGCCGGCTCTGCATGCTGTCGAAGACTCTTACATGTCAAGCTTAGATTGAGAAGATCAACCTGTGGAAGGAACAACGTGATGTGTGCCACCAATTCAGCGGCCAGTCCGGTAAACTGCGGTGACGTCTTCGAATTAGCGTTTGCGCTCGAGCCTTCGGGGACCTGCTTCTTTTCCTGCCTGTGTCTGGGCATCTTGGCGTCCAGCGAAACGTTGTATGTAGTATTTCATTCATATACGAGAGTGTTGGCGTTTAGGTACTCGAGGACGGGAGTAACCAAAATGTGGGTGAGGAGGCTGGGAGCGATTACAACCGCAGGCTGACCCCACCTTTCTCTCGCGGCACCGGCTCCCCTCAACACAGAACATCACTTACTAGTCGAAGCTTCCACGTTGTGATCGGTATACTTATTGAGTTGCGCGTTTGTCACATAAAGCACATGCGCTCGCTAACCGTCTCTATTAGCACTTGAGTCAAGGCGGAAGTTTTAGTAACACTGCCTACTTCTCGGATACGTGGGCGGTATCTCGTACTATAGGATGGATCAAGGTACGAATCAACCTTGGAAGCTAGCAACCTGCTGAGCAGATGCTCAATTTTCGGGCGATGAAGCATTTCTGTTACTGCATCTACAGAATAGAAAGATATCATCTAGGACGTGATCTCATGAGCAGTCACGTGCCGGAGGCTGGATTTGCTAGCGTGACATTCTCGCGTTCGTTTGGCGGCTGCGAGTGCTGCGCGTCGTCAAACCTCCACTCATCATCCCTCACAGGCCGCAATCAAGTCATCACGACGGTTGTGCATCTCATCCCGAGTTCTTGTTTTCTACCGTTTACTTTTATTGCACCCTGAAGTCTCCCTACAGTCTGTCATCGTCCAGCACCTGCCGTAACAGCGCGCAACCGAACACCCTTGAACAGGATCCCGAGACCAGATGCCTCATTTTCCAACGCCAAGTCGGCAGTTACAAAATAAGATCCAAGGCTGAAAAGAGCTGTTTACGGTCAAACGACAAGTCTTTTTGTCATATGGTGTTTTGATGGCAACACAACCTCAGATCCATTTCTCGAGACTGCGACGGTCGTCAGGCTCATGCCTGCCATGGTATTCCTCATGGTATCGTGTATCGCCTCCTGCAGTCCTGCCCTGAACACCCCGGCCAGAATTCGCCCTATCAAGCATATCTAGCTCAAAAGGACCGCCATGTGCACCTCTACTCTTGTCCGCACCAACCCACCCACCGACTGGAGTTCCTTTGCGCTCTTCTCGGCGCGGGAACAGATTTGTGTTGTACGTCTGCAATCTAGCGCCAGCAGGACTCATCGTTCTATTCTGCCCTGGGAGCATCGGTACGGGGGGCGGCAGAGTTAGATCTTCTGCTGAGCTATCACGAGAGTTACCCTTGAGCACGGAGCGAATGTTTTCTTTCGAAACGATGCGCGTAACGCTGCGATCAGACTCATCGCGCAATAGCCGTTGAGGACGAGCGCTGCTGGCAAGCCCACGTGTACTGTTCCATCGCTCGGGGCTTCTGGATGATACGGACGGAACGATATGCTCCATTCCGGGCCATGGTACTGTTCTGGGCGGAGAAGTACCCGGCCACGCAAGAGGGTTTGGTGTCGCCTTGCGATGGATGTCGTTCGACGCGATACGCAGATCGCCAGTATATGCAGTTGGCTTAATAGGCACAGGAAGCCTCGTGACTGGCTTTGAGGGCTGAACGCGTTGCGGATCTCTCGCAGTGTCCTCGCGTACACTTTTGAGCTTTGTTAACGAGATCTCGTCGTCCCACCCACTGCCCTCGTAGCTTGGAACCCGTGCATCCGGGTGTGCTCTTCCCTTTTCGATCGTTGGCGCGACCCGCATCTCAGGCTGGTACTTGTGGTGCAGTGGCTGTGGTATAGCACTCAACTGGCCCATGGGCGAATATATTGATTCGTCCGTGTCGTCACACATTTGCATGCGCTGATGGCTACCGGGAAGGACGAGAGTGTCTGAGTTATGGGTTGACGTGTAGACACTCTGGTCAGATGGCTTGCGCACTGTATCAGGACGGGGCCATGGCGTAATGATAGTGGTATCCGTTGAGGCGCCGCTCACATGCCTCTCGGTTGACGAGGACTCGGAAGGGTGATGAGCCGGTCCTTCATCAGGTAGATAGATCTGTCGTGTTACACCATGCAGCGGACTCTTCGGCTCCTCCTTTGACGCCATTCTGGACATGCCTCGAGACAGCGAGCGGCGGATGCTATCTGAGTACCGTCTGATTGGGCTCTCGCTGCCATCCTGGTCTTGTCTGCTGCGGTCCTTGTCAGGAGAGCTGCTCTTTCCTGGGCTCAGGCTACCGTCCCGCTTTACCACCTGGGCCTGGAAGGTCCTCACTTCGCCCGTCTTCTCTGCGGCCTTCCTGCGGTCTGCTCGGGCTCGCTGTTCATTCAACCACTCTTCCATCTTATGTTTGAACTTGGGCCGTTCAACCAAACCGCCATACTGAGGGTACACATCGCGAAGCTCCTTCTCAGTCTCGTCGTACTGCTTTCGCGTGAACACTCCAGCACCGCTGACACGCTTATGGAATGTTGCCCCTTCATCACTGACGACCTTCTTCGGCAAGGAGATTATGCGGTACGGCGTGGGCGACATCAGGCTTCCTCCAGGTACCAAGACGTTGTCCTTGGGAAAAGCGAGACCAGATGGACACCGCTCTTCGATGTAGAGCGCGAGGCGACCGTAGTGTCGTCGGCCTTTGACACTGTAAGAAGCGCGAACAGCATTGACGATGGGCACGAAGACTGCTTCCCAGGCGGTGCAGATGTTGCGGAGCTCGAAGTAGTCAATGTTCCACGGATTGCGCGACTTGCCGACCTTGAATACCTGCAGCAACCAGGCGAAGAGGTGTTTCTCGTACGCCTCCACAGTCCAATCACTCTTGTCGATTACTCCATGCACGCTGGAGTCTGATGTGTACTCCGCGCTGTGCTTGTCGGCGCGTGGGTCATAACGGTGTACACCTTCGTCGAATCGTGTATAAAACCACAACAGGTCTGTGCGAGACACACCGTCCTCTCCATCCTCTCTGGCTATCGCCGTTGCACGTGGTACCGCCTCCGGTTGACGCAAGAATATCGAATCGCGGAACACAGCCCATGGCTCTAGGAACGCAGCGGTCGCGAGGAAGCGCTCTTCGAGACTGTCCAAGTTGGGTAGTTGCAGTAGCGACAGTGCTTGTTTGAGCTCAGGAGGGATCTTTTCCTTTTCGTTGCGCGTGAAGAAGTCGCGCATGTTCTTGAGTCCTGAATTGGTAGGAGAGTGCGCCATCTTGGCTGAGTCGTGGGCGCAAGGATTGCGGCTTTGGTTTGTGGGGAAGGTTTGGGCTGTTGTTGTCGAGTGGCAGGCCACAATATCGCTAGCGCTGTGTCTTTTTTGCGTCTCGGTGAATGCAGATTTATTCAGGCGGCAAGATTGTAACATCTGGCTCGGGAACGCAAGGCAGCGGTCTCACCTTCACTAGGACCCCGAAAGTCCGCCGCCATACGCTCCGCATCTGTCGGAACTGGTGGCCAACGAACCTTCCGAGTGGTAAGATGCATTCGGTCGTGTAGCAGTGATGCCAATATCCCGACTACGGGCTAGCATTCACTTCCATAGTTGCTGCATCGACGACGACCCCAAGCCCCGTTGTTGCGCCAAGCCGAGCTAGCCGGTCATACCTTCCATCATCATGAGCTGCGAATCTCTGGCATCCTCTTCTCTTATCTGATACTTCTGGAACTCGGACTCACTGAAAGCAGCACCCCGACAATCACAGCCATGCTCTACAGTATTCCCGTGGTCTCCTTCCTGGTCTGCGGCGCGCTCGCTGCGGTAGTCCCCAAGCTGGACCATGCTTCGAGCCTGCCATGGTCCCCAGATCAATCTTGCATCATTCCACCCATTACTGATGAGCAAGTCGAAGCTCAACTGGCCGCTCATGCGACGGATATCACGGATACCGCAGATACCACAAACGGTCAGGATACAACCCAGTATGGCGGTGCTTCACTTTTCAACTATATCAATTGGGGCGGTCCACAGAAATGGACCGACATCGTTTCCCCAGGTAGATCATTGATTGCTTACTGCTTCTATTCTGAGAAGGACCGTGCCAGGCTACTTGAGCGCGTCGAAGCAGCTGTAGCCCTCTGGAAAGCTGCTCTAGGCGGAGAGCGTGGTAGAGACAACGGGCATGATCTTCAATTCAACGAATGGTATGACTACAAGGCGTCCAAGCATCACTTGTGCTATGATCCGAACCCCGAAAACAAACAAGAGTGGAACCCTTCGTTGCCGACTACAACGTTGGTGATCAGTCTGTCAGAGAAGATGACCAACGGAGCTTACGCGACTATGGGGGCTGGCAGCGCGGCTGATAGAGGCAAACCCTGGAAACTCCGCTTGTCAATCGGCCCAGAGACGGCTGCCCTGGTCGTCGCGCACGAGATCGGTCATGTGCTCGGTATGTCTCAAACAAACAAATATCATGATCATTACTGACAGTTCAAGGCATGGGTCACGAACACCAGCGAACAGACCGCGACAAACACGTTGAGTTCGATTGCAAAAAGTTGAAAGGCTACTCGGACGCGCTCGCTCGGGCCCGAAAGGCTCTCCCGCAATTCAAGGACCACCAGCTATGTCTGTTCGCAGACTACTCCAAGAAGTTTCAATTCCCCGCTGTCCACTATACCATGTCCGTGGCTTATGGTAGCCCTGCCCAGTACTGGTGGATGAAAGCTGATACCGAGTACGACGTGGACTCTATTATGTCGTATAGCAGCTTCCAGCATGCCAACGAAAAGTGCGCCGAGGGAGACCACCCGGAAGAATGCCCATTGAGGAGGTGGAAGGTGCCTGGAGATAAATCGCAAGGAATAGCGTACATCGAAGATGCTGAAAAGCCCAGTCCAGGCGACGTCCGCTGGGTCCGCACCAATTACCCATACCAAGGACCCCATATCGACTCAGTCGAGAATGCGGGCATACAAGATGAGAATGAGGAAGCCTCAGATGAAGACTTTGACCAAATTCCATACATTGAGCGAAGTAAGGTGACTGGCGAAGATCCCAAGTTTCTAAGGAAGTTGGATCGTCAACGGGCGAAGCTGGCAGAGGAAGAGAAGGCTGCCAGAGATGTTGCCAGTGCTGCTATTTGATGCAGTTGCTCAAATAGTCCGAGAAAGTCCGGGGCGCCACAAAGGCCCTGCACCCGAGGCTTGAGCGACCGGCGAGTGTTTTCTAGTAGCAATACTCTTTCACCAGAGTGAGCATTGTGACTCAAATGCGTTATATGGCCGATGCGCCCTGCAGTCGGATCGCCCCTCGTGATCACGAGTACATAAATGCCGGCACTCACGTTAAAGACTCCCTTACACTTCCCATTTCCATCATTCCTTTGCTCTTACCAACTGTTCCTAGTACCATCATCATGAGATACTTCCCGGTCTTTGCGGCGGCTGCCATTCAGGCAATAGCGGCGTCTATTCCCCCAATATCGCCCATCTTCTCAGGTCCATGCGCTGTCCTACCTCCGTCTAACAACACCGAGACTCCAACCTATGATGGGATGCAATCTGGCGCTACATCTCTTTGGGGTCACGAAGGCGGTGGTGGCCCCAAGAAGTGGACGGAGCTCTACATCAAGGGCATTACGTTGATACCGTACTGCTTCCCGACAGAAGAACACCGCAAAGCAAATGTTGAGAAATTAGAAGCAGCTATCAAACTGTGGATGACAGCTCTCGGCGGCGGACCGTCGCCGGGTACAAACCACAAGATCATCTTCTCGGAGTATGTTGACTTCTCACAGAACCCAAGGTACTGCATAGATGTCAACAGTCCAGCTGAGAGCAAATGGAATATGGCTGTACCCTACAAGACAGTCGCCATCTGGAAGGACGATGGCGTGGGCAAAGCCGCGGCCGCATCCACTGTGGGCATGGGTGATACGCCGGGAAAGCCTTGGGATCTGAACATGTGGATAGACGTAGAGGCCAGCGTCATAACTGTAGCACACGAACTTGGACATGTCATGGGTACGTTGGACATTACCCTCGATCTCGAATGTTACAAGATTGACAAACAAAAGGAATGATGCACGAGCAACAACGCTCAGACCGTGATAGATACATCCATTACAACTGTACAAAGCTCACCGACTATCGCACCGCCCTCGCACGCGCGCGTGAATCTGACCCCAGCACAACGACCGACGCACTGTGCAACGACGTCACAATCGCCGATAGATACAACTTCAGCGGCCGCTCCTACACTGATACTGTTCTGTACGGGAAATCCGAGGGCGGCTGGACACTGAACCCCGATTCACCGTACGATGCGGATAGCATCATGCACTACCACAGCTACATCATGGGTAATGAGAATTGTCTAAATGGCAACCAGGCGGAGTGCCCAGTAGCACGTTACAGGGACAGTACGAATCATGATCTCGGATATGAGATGATTCCTATGTGGACCAGGCCAAGTTCGTGGGATGTGGCGTGGGTCAAGACGCAGTATGGGTGGAGGTACAGTGGCGCCGCTGAAGGCGCGCAAGATGGCGGGGAGATTAGTGAGGCTCGGTTAAAGGAGCTGATTGAGGAGGGACGAGAGCGATATGTTCGGAGCCAGGTGTAGGGCAAATCTCAGCTGTGCTTGCATATAACACTCTACTCAAATTTTATGCCTATATGTAAGCGCTAGACCAGCCGGGTTACGGCGACGATATCTAGGTACTAGAATCTCAGGGATATGTAACTCGTGGATGTTACAAAGCTCACAGCAGTCGACTGACATCTCTCACCTTGTTACCAAGCGCGTTGAGCAAGAGATTCGTTGGTCGTCCTAAACACTCTTACCTTCACCTCGCTTCTAGTCTTTTTAAACAACTTCAAATGTCCTCCTAATTCCTCGCTTTGGGTCTTAACTATAACGCCCGATTGTGCCGTCATAATAAGATGAATGCATCCCGGCAATCTCAATCCTCTCTATCGCGCGGGATGGACGACTCTAGCATCGTTTCGGAACTGCAGACTAAATCACCCTCTCTACAGTCTGTTGCAATGGAGAGCAACGAAGCAACTCTACAAGGTGAGCACGAGCCAATCTGTCTTCATGAGGGCGACTAACGCATTCATAGGCTCACTGAAGAGGCGCAGACTCAGCAAAGACGAAGACATCATAGCAGCAATGCGAGACCGTCATCAACAAGAAGAAGCGCAGCTGCGTCGACTGAACGATGAGATTGTGATGCTCAGGCGCGATGCGACATCTACAACACAGTTCAATCGTATGATCGCCGAGCAAGCAGAAGTGGCAAAGGTTCTCAGATGCGAAGTTGAACAGCTGAAGCAGGTAAACGAGGACAGGAAGAGATCTTCTCAGAGCTTCAAGAATATGTTCGAAAGGAGTCAGAGTAGCGTAAGAAATTGGAAGGCACGGGCTGAAAAGGCCGAGAGTGAGTTGAGGGAAGAAAGGACTGAGAGATTTGAGGCGGAAGCAAAATTGGAAAGATACATTGAGGCACAGAGGTCTATGGCAAAGGAATTCGGAGGTTGAGCGGGCTAAGTACACAGCCTACGCGAGAGGGTACTCAGGTTAGGTATAGGAGCCCGCACATATGTCAAAGCCCCAGGGCACGTGCCCTAAATTCACGGTGAATATTGGAGAAAAGGCCTTTCCTTGGTTCCTCGTGAAGAATGAACGGTGAATGCACTAGTGGGTCGGAGAGCAACCTTTCCGTGTTGACATACCCATATTGCTGGCAACCACGACAACAACACAGGCAACTTTCGTCAACCACAAGTATGGATCTCGACGCCATCACCACCGCGATGACAGCAATCAGCGTTCCCACCGAGGGTACGCCTGTTGACACCAGTGGCAGCAACAGTGAGCTAGATGGTAGAGCACAGGGTACTTCAGCTATCGATTTGATCAACCTTACCATGGAAGTGCCCAATATCACTGGCAATTATCCTAAGACCCTCGTTCTCGACATTGGCGGCCGCAAGTTCAAGGTCTCGCGCGACACCCTGCAGGCAGAGTCAGGCCTTTTCCGACACCAACTCTCCGGCCGCTTCCCTTGGGAGCCTGAGATGGACGGCTCGTACTTTCTTGATGCCGACCCCGATCTCTTCGAGCACCTATTGCGCTTTATGCGCCGCCCCGAGGTACTACCGCTGTTCTATGATGCGGCTAAAGGATTTGACTATAATCTGTACAATCGTCTGGAGGCCGAGTCGCAGTACTTCCAGATCGACGTGTTGCATGAGTGGATCAAGAACAAGGTATGTCGCATTCACTGCGTATATGTATTCCGCGCTGACATATGTGTAGAAATACCTCAACGCTATCAGAGTCCAAACCTACGATGCGAACATCCGAGGCATCGGCGCGATTGGCCCAGAATACTTCCCCGCGAACAAGACCGAGGACTGGTATGTCATTCAAAAGAAGCAGAAGGTATATCTTTGTCCTCGCCATATCCCAGCTCACAGAGGGCGTCCGGAGTTGTGTGGCATGGCATGCCATAAGAAGCAAGCGGAGCACGCGTTGGAGTACGAGGAGGAATCTTATCTGGAGGTGGTAAGCGTACAGAAGGAGACTGTGTTCGACGCGAAAGTCTGCACGGTGGAGTGAACCTAGAACTGGCCTAGCGACTGTATGCGTAGTGAACGTATCATAGTCTAAAGGGAGGGACAAAGACACCGAGGACGTCATGATTTCATGGACATTGTATCTTACAAAAGCTGAGGTACATTCTCAGGTGGTTTGGGCGCGATAACCTTTCTCTGTTCAGCAATGCTTCTATAGCGGTAATTGATCTAGTGATGTTAAGATCCGGAGATGGTGTATCCTCCGCATCGTGATGAGGTATCATACCACGGTCTGCAGACAGATTCTTAAGACTTCTCGGGTGGTGCGGTGAGCAGATAGATTGAAGCATAAGTAAGTCGGGCTGGAGGCGCGCGGAAGGTAGATGGACCGGAGCCCTACAGTCTGGGTGCTGGCAATTAGGTACCTGTTTGCGCGCATATCCAAGACGCCGTTTCTCGAAGACGGGACGTCCCGACCGACGGAACGAATTTAATGGGCTGTGCGCTGGAGCTACTCCATCACAAGTAAAAACCAACTTCTTCGCAAACATGTAATCTGTCCGCTGCCACCCTGAGAGTCTGGATGATTAGAAAGGCAGCATGCATCCGCTCCACTAAGCTAATTATAGTAGCTAATGTCCGCTCCTCCCCGGAGCGCGCAAAAGCGAACGGAAGGCATCTCCAAGAAGCCCCATACCGAGATTGAGACCAACTTTACATCTCGTCTGCGCGACTGGAGCCAATGCCGCGACCTGTTAGCATGAAAGCGCGGTCTCCAAACTGAAAGCGGATGCATGCTGCCGACCTGACTGCGCAAACCCCTCCAAGAATCATCCGTACTCCTTTGACACTACTTGTGACCCATTCGTTCTATTTAACCTCTTTTTTACTTGACCATGTATTCACGTACCATTATCTCGGGTTTGCTGCTGGGCGCATTGCCCTTCCAGACTTCGGCCCAAGATGATCCATCAACAGACTGCACTGGTGTCAATGGGATCAGCCCAAAATGCAACAGTCAAGAATCTGCATACCAGCGAGACTTCTTCTATATCGGTGGCGGCTACGTCGACTCCGGCATTCCGGGCCAACAGATGTGGAGCGACCAGCTGTATGTTGAGAAGCTGACGCCCGCCAGCAAAGTCAACAAGCCTTACCCGATGGTCTTTGTCTCCGCAGGTGTCAACACGGGCGCAGAATGGCTGAATACGCCAGACAATCGCAAGGGGTGGGCTTCCTACTACCTTGATCAAGGCTACCAGGTCTACATCGTTGACATCGCTGCCAACGGCCGAAGTGGCCAGCAGCTTCTTTCCAAGTACCCTTTACGCCTTGGATCTACAGACACGATCAATGAGCAGGGCTTTACAGCCCCGGAAAACTTCGACCAGTACCCACAGGCAAACGCACATACACAATGGCCGGGAAACGGATCTCGCGGAGATCCAGCTTTTGATGCCTTCACTGCCGCCAACGTTCCTATCTCTTCATCGAACGTGAACGTGGAAAACACTATGCGCACATCTGGATGTCAGCTTCTCAGCATGATCGGCCAGTCATACACCATCTGCCACTCAGCTGGCTGTACGTACACGGCTATCTGGTCCGACGCATGCCCCGACCTGCTGCGTGCCAACATCAATATCGAGCCTGGCAACATCCCACATACTTCTCTGATCGGGAATGCGACTGTTGCTGGCGTCGGTCGTACTGCCGCGCGGCCTTGTGGCCTCACATACACACCGCTGCAATTCGATCCGCCAGTAACGAACTGCTCGACCGTTACTACCACTGAGGTCGGCCTAGACGACCCTGCCAAGCGCTCCTGTATTCTGCAGACTGGCACCATCCACAAGCTCACCCAACTCGGCAAAGTGCCCTACATCATGATCACAGGTGAGGCCAGTCCGCACATCACGTACGACCACTGCTTTATCGAGTACTTCAAGCAGATGGGCCTCACCAATTATCAGTGGATCAAGCTTGCCGACATTGGTATCAAAGGCAATGGGCACTTCGTGTTTCTGGAGAAGAACAACCAGGATATCGCCGCGGCGATCAACTATGGTCTCGGACAAATGAATGAAAGCCCAGTTGCTCCGGGTCATCCCGGCCTTCCTATCTCTATGAGATGAGGGAGGGAGCTGGCGATGACTGCTAATGGCGAATCTGATGTATATATTTTGAAGGTCGGCTGCAAAATAGAACTAGCATGCTGCGGTTTTGGCTTCGTGCCACTTCCGAATCGAGTGTCGAGAAACTTTCCCCGCTCCAGGCCAATGCTTGCGTACTATACTGGTTGAAGACATGCTTACGCCGTGATGCTAATGCCAACGCTTGCTGTCCTCAAAGTTGGATAGAGAGCAGGAACGACCCATGCAACACCCTCAAGGAGCCATGTGCCTTGATAACGTTCATCGTATCTACATGCGCTGCCGCTGGTCCCCTCTTAACTCTGATCCGAGCCTGTGTTTACATCACTTCAGCGTTGAATTTCTGCTTTGACGCCTGTTCAAGCTCATTGTCTGTCGTGCTTTCCTTCCGTATGTCTGCGCGACTCGGCTTTCGGAGGTGGCATTACCGCGATCCCTATGATGTCTCAACAGGACGGTGTTCTTGTCTTCATGGTGCGCGGCCCGATCCAGGGCTCGTAAGCACTCATTTAGCAGAGACCAATGAGTGATCTTGCTGGAACTTGGATAGGGGCGATTTACCAGGCGTTGGCCAAAGCCTGGTGCATCAATCATGTTGGTCTCTTCGATAATGAGCGGTATGCCATGGATAGCTTACGACTTGTTGAGGGATTTGGGCGCTTGCTGACAAGCGCCTGTCTTGCGGACGCTAGGCAACCGAATCGATAAAGCACGAGTGCCTGCATGGCTATGATTGGACGCGTTGTGCAATCAGATATTTGCCCGTATGTGCATATTACTGCAAAAGCTCTTCTGCGGTAATCCGGGAAGATCAATACGTCCCGTCCATACTCATGCTCGACTGGAGTGAGGGTGACATTGAAACGTCCGGACTCAAGGACGGGTA